TGTTCAACTGGATTAAGATCTGAGGGTTGTGAGGGTCAATTAGGTACCTTCATGAAGGCACAAAATTTTTCCTCTTCGTTTTTTTGCATTTTTACGTTTTTAAGATTAAAAAAAATTGACAATCTTGATTTTTATAAATCCGATTTTAATTACCAATTTTTTTAATTTTATTATTAATTATCTATGCTAGCCAAAATTACAAAATTTTGTATTAATATTCTAGTTAATCTAAGCTATAAATCGATATAAATTTTATTTTTATTATTATGTAGGATTTTGAGTAAATTTGAGAAACAAAAATTGATATTGCAATTTTCGTCAAATTTCGGATTATTTTAATTAAATTTTTTTAGACGTTTTGAGAGTATCAAAATTTACATGCATATTCACCAAAACCTAAGCTACATTTTGATAAAATTTTATGTGTAGTTATTATGTGCGTTTTTGTGTAATTAGTAAAAACAGGTGTCCGGATACTTTTGTCCAGGGAGTGTCACATATACTTAATTGCGTTCAAAATTCAAAACCACAATTTACTTTGCTATATATTTAAAGTTATTTTATTGGCCTTGGTATCTTTGGTATATTTATTTATTTACTTGATATATGATTAATGATTAGTGATTATTAAAATAGAAAGGTCACTACAGTATCAATAAAAATGTACTAATTTATACATTGAAGTATAAGAGGCATTTACAAGCTTAGTATTAGTAGATGTTAATTTATTGAAAATATATACATATGTAAACTCGATAAGTCGGTCATGTGGGGGTGAGCTCATATGACCGACTTATCGAATTAAATTACTTAAATATTAAGAAAATGGGGCGAAAGTTTTGGCCGACTTATCGAGTTTACGTATGTATTAGCAAGTTTGGTTGAAGCCTTTAAACTTTGAATTTCAAAATGGATAGCATAGTAATAATAATAATATATAGTAAATAGTGATGTTAACCGGCCAAAAAAAATTTCTCTTAACATTCATTTTACGTATGGAATTTTAGTTCAGGATTCAGTGGCATAGAAATTTGGTCGAGATGGGTCCACCTGCATTACTTAAAAAACATACATTTGCTCAAAAACAAAACACAATACATCATAATTAGAGTCTCTATTCGTAATACAAATACTTATTTTAATTCGAATTATTATATTCGTTCTATTCGAATAAACTTTCAATGTAATTCAAGCACTCAAATTCATAACGAATAAAACAAATAATTGGAATCGAACCATTAAAGGCGAGATGTCATAATAAAAAGTAATAATAGTGATAGTAATAATAACGATAGTAGTAGTAATAATAATATCAGCAAGCTTAGTACTATCTGAAAATTTTTCATCAACTGGGGTTTATTTAAGTCCTTAGCCGGCTAAGGTTTTTCTATCGGCTAACATCATTAAAATGGCATATTAATAATTGGCCCATGAGTAAAAATTTTTAATTGTTTGTTTCTCAAAAATAGTTGCATGAAATTAGAAGTTTTGTTTTCATTGATATCGATCCTTTATGAATATAAGGTTGATTTTCGGTTCATTAAAAACAATCTGTGCAATCACCAAAAAAATTTCGTTGGTCAAATAATAATAAATTCAACTCAACTAAAAGGATATTTTTTAAAAGGAGAGTTTGTTAAGCTGGCCTTTTGGCTTAAAGTTATTCGTTAGCCTTTATAAGATGATAAATTATTTTTTTTACACACTGTATATTAAAAATAACTTAATGGTCTTGTAATTTGTATTTTCGTTATGTATTAAAATGGTTGATAAGTAACTCTAACATTACTTGGCAATTTAAAAACTCCGAACGATTTCGACCGGTCGGTGCCTTAGGAATTGGAAATGATTTTCAAAATTTACTTTCTTTCTTTGTCCAAAATTGGAGCATTCGATAATATGATTTGACGCAGAAAATTAATCATTCTGACAATACTATATACGCGCGCGCACCTTCTATTTAACCTATAAATAAAAATGCATATTAATATTGATTCGTGTCATATATAGTCATTATAATGACAATGATCACATATATAATGTTTTAATTATACACCCTTCTCAAGATTTTGGAATCAACTAATCAATTAATAATCAAAATGTTTAGATATTGTAATAATAAAACTTCAATTATTATTAAAGAATTTTCATTATCATCATTATTATCGCCATCACCATCATCATCACCATCATCATTAATTCCAATTATTTTTATTAAAAGTGATACAAAAACATCCAATTTGGTTGGAAACAATAATAATTTAATTTTCATTAATATTAATAAAAATCAATTAAAATCTTCTTTCCAATCATTTAACAATAATAAATTTTTGAATAAAAAATCTTTTTTCTTCTTGCCGTCTGGTTATTCTCAAGATAGAAATTTTGACATTCATGAGGTTTTAGATTCTTATTCAGGTAATATAGGTAATATAAAAATACTATTTGTTGATTTGTAATTCCTGATTAATATATTTTTTATTTTTGTCTTTATTTTCTAGATGACCCACAATCGCAGCAACAACAATATCATCTTCATAACAATAAATTAATCAAGAAAATTTCAACAAATCAAAAATCCCATGACGATCTTAACAACATTAATCAAAGTCTCGAAAGCAGTAGTACTAAAAATACTTCCGGAGGTAGTCCCGGAGGAATAAGTGGAAGTAGTATTAGTATTAATGGTGGTGGCGGTGGTAATAGTAGAAGCATTAGACATAATGATCGTAATCCTAGAATTTCTATTGATGATTTATTTTCCCCGCGTGTGAAAGATGCAGTATTCAGTACTATATTTGGACTGGCTGCCATTTTTCTAGGTGGTGTCTTATATCAATCATGGTATTAAATTGTTTAATCTTGGTGACATTATCATAATTATTAATCTGATTAATTATCAATCTATCAATCCATATTATATTTTTGTAGGTATGAGTGGCATGTAAGTCATAAAGTACTAAAAGCATTCACCAGTTCGCTACCTTCACTAAAACCAAAAACGATTTATCTAGAGAAAGATGAATACAAGAATCTGTTTCAGGCAATAGAAGGTAATACAAAAGGAAGGTATTATTTGTTGGTGGGGGAAAATGGGACAGGAAAATCACAAATGGTATTTCAGGCGATGGAGAAATGCAATCAGTTTGGTGTGGTTATTTGTGAAGCTCATTCCAACACAGAAATATTTAAAACACGACTGGGTAGATCATTGAATTATACTTTTAGAGAAGATTACATCGGTGGATTGTTTGCTAGAGAAGCTCCAGAACGAGGTTATTAATTATTTAATTTGTTTGAAAAATTCTGATTGGATGGTGTTTTAAAATATATTTCATAACCTGTATTTGCAAACCAAAAAATTTAGGTTCAGCATTGTTGGATATTGAGAAGGCATTGAATGTGGTTGAGGGGGTGGCATACAAATATAAAGGAAAATATAATAAACCACTTGTGCTCATAATCAATGATATTCATGCATTAAAAGATGATGAAGATGGTGAAGATATGTTAGAACTGTTGCAACAAAGAGCTGAAGCATGGGCTTCATGTAATGTTGTCACAATGATTTTTAATACTGATGATTATTGGGTTTATGAAAGAATGAGTAAGTAAATATATATTTCTTTTTTAATTAATCGTTTAATGGAAGATAACTATTTCCTCCAATTCTAATTAATTATATTTTATATGTGTAGGAACGAGTGCTTCGCATATGGAAGTTGTTAGAGTACGTGATTTGAACAAGGATGAGGCAATTGAATTCCTGAAAGATAAAAGAAAAGATAAAATAAATGGATGTGAATCTGATGAAGTATTGGGGAAGATTGTGAGTGAATGCATCGGTGGCAGAATATTATATTTAAATAAATTGGCTAAAGAAACTAATATAGATTTATTTGGTAATATATTCTTTTCTGTTGTGAGATTATTATTAATTATTAATTATAACTATTAATTTTCTCCACAAAAAATATATCCATGTAGAGGCTGCAAATAAATTAAAGGAAGAACAGAAAACTTGGTTGATAAATTTGATTGGCTTAATTCCAAACTTTAATGGATTGGAAGTTGAATCACAACGATATGCAGTAGCAGCTTGGAAATTGATTCGAGAACTAGTTCATTCACCAACAAAAGCCATATCAATGGTTGATGCAAGATTAATAATTGGTAATTCAAGATATTTGAAAAAATTAGATCATGATGGAATAATAATGGTTGATCAGGACAATAAAATAAAACCAGACTCACAGATTAGTTATGTTATTTTTGAAGAGATAATCAAATCGCCAAACTTCAATCAGATACTGAAAAAAGTTGATCAGAAATTAGAGGAAACTGATAAAAATCAAAGAATTAGAGAAATTATTTGGAGTAATAAAAACAATTGGTGGAAATTTTGGTGATAAAAAAAAACAATATTTGTTTGTTGGTGAATTCATGTAACAAGAATAATTTCCAACAAACATTCAGATTGATTAATTTATTTAATAAAGAAAGAAATTAAGACTTTTCTTTACTTTTTTCCGCAAAAGTTGTTTTTACTATTACTACCATTACTACCTTGTCATGATAATACACGTAATTTTTGATAATTTGACAATTTGGGCATTGTATTATCGGTACACTCAGACCTCATTTCAACGAATCTATATGCATTTAAAATTCGTTATACCAAAATTACTAACCGCGTTTCAATGAATTTTGATTTTGTAGCGTGATAATTCGTTGAAACGAGAGGAGGTTTGACTGATTGTTGTATAACAAATCCAGATTTAAAAAAATGTTCAACTCGATAAAATTTTCTTTTCTGAAAAAAAAATCCAAATGGATGAAAAAATGGGTTATTTAAATAATTTCGTTATTTTGGAAGGTGACAGTGAAGGTGATGAAGATAGTAATAATAATATGACAGCTATAAGTGATATATTTGGTCCATATACATCAATTATTAAAAAAGTATGTAATAAATGTGAACGCATATTAGAATATTATGACAATTTTCAAGATAAAAATATAAAATTTTGCGGAATTTTGGTTGACTTTATGCATTTTAATATAAAACATTTGACAAGAAGCAAGGAAGAGAATTTAGAGAATTTTAAGCAAGCAACATTCTACCAATCATTTAATAGATTTGAGATTGCGTTAAATAGTATTGAAAAATTCATTTATGGAATTTCAGATTATGGAATTGTTAGGAATTTTATGATCTTGAGCATGTTAAGAAAAGTTTTTATAATATTGTTGATGATTTAGAATTGGTTTGTAAAAGATTACAATTTAACAACATGATGAATCTTATATTTCAACAAATTAAAAGAAAATAAAGAGTCACTTGATAATCATTTCAATGAAATATGGACATTATGTATGGATTTTCAGAAGGTGCGTGTGTATATGTGTGTGTAGATTTTTGTGCATTCATTTTATGTTTCTAGAAAACTATTTTTTTTTCTCCCCGGAAAAATTTTACAGAATGGTGATATAATTGATACAAGTAGATTGATATTAGTGAAAACACTACAGGAATTTAGAAATAGGAATCAATCACCACAGGAACCATCTAAAAATAGGAATTCAGAAGTCCAAGCACTACTAGAATTCTGCTAAAAATAAATAAAGATCATATACAAGATTCGCCAATTACAGACAATGAAAGGAGCAAAGTGATTACAAAAAAAATACACAAAATGAAAATTACAAGTCAAGGTCAAGATCAAAAGCTAGATCAAAATAAAAACTCTTGTCCTGATTCCAATCCAAGTCTTGATCCCAATTCAACAGCAGAAGCAGCCGCAACAACTGCAATTACAAAAACAACTACAATCAATCAGGAAGTAGCTTGTAGAAAACTTTATTTGAGTTTTTAGAACAAGATTCCTGAAGATAATTTTTATATTTTATTAACATTAATAAAAACAATAACAGTACAGATATGTATTAAAATTTTATGGATATTATAAAGTGGAAAGTTATTATAATTTTGTATATGAATGGGCTGAAAAGGAGATTACTAAAATTGTATGAGAAAAATTGTATTAATTGGGTGACTAAACTAAAGATTGCATATGATGTTGTCAGAGGGCTTTCATACTTACAAAGTGTCAACATATTGCATCATTCTGTTAAATGTGAAAATATTTTAGTAAGAGATTATTAATAGATGGGGGGAGAAAAGGATATGTATAAATTTAATAATGATATGTTTAATAATTATAGATTGATGGAATGGGAGATGCAAAGGTGGCCAATTTTGATAAAGAAGTACAAGAGGTATATATGGGTCATAGATTAACAACTTTTGGATAAGTTTGTTCCTTGGATGGCACTGGAGAAATTAAAAGCAAAAGGCATAGGTATAATTTTTGTTCTGAAATGTTTAGGTAAATAAATAAACGTTTCAATATAACAAGTATAATTAATAGAAATTTACTTAACACTAAGAATATTTATTTAGTTATGGGATGTTACTTGGGAGCTTGTTTATCAAAAAATACCATATAAAGATTTTAAAGTGAATGATATTAATGATTATGTGTTGTCTGGCTGGTAAACGAGAAGTTTTAAAGATTGGGGTAAAAGACAGAGAAATTCAATATGGATTAATTGAAATTATCAAAAAAGGTATAATTGAGTGTATTTATATTCATTTATTCATAATTCACATATGATTTATATATAATACAATATACAATGTATGATATAGATTGGCAACATGAACGAAAAACTCGTCCATCTTTTGTATATGTAAAAAGCATATTAACATAATTGTAGAAAAAATATGATATTTAAGATGACAATAAAGCAGATCACAAGAATTATAGTATATTTATACCTAAAGAAAACATTACAGATGAACCAATGCAAAGAAATAATATTGAATCAGAATCTGATTTTAAAAGAATTTTAAGTACATAAAATTATGATTTTTTTTAAGACATGAAGTTCTATATGTGAAATTTCATTTATTTATTAACAATAATAATTTTTATCATATATTCCCACATAGTCTATTGTTGCTGTTCAGTAGTAACTTTTTCTTTTTCTTCGACATATTTTTTTATGCTAGGTACAAGAACCTTTTTCCATTGATCATAACACATTCTAGCAGTTTTCTCTTTGACTTGATCTGCGACATCGTCCCAATTCACATTTTTCAAGTAACTATCTATAATTGATTCAAGCAAACGTTTTCTCTGTAGTGGTGTCCATTTTCCCTTCTTAATAACTAATAACAATAAGGAATTAATAATTACAAATAATAAATATAAATAATCTATTTACCCATGTTTTTTTACCTTTTTCAGTGGTAACTATTACAACTCTTTCTCCATCCTCATCATTATTATCAACATCCAAAGAAGAAGCGATAATATTACCATCACAATCATAATTTAAAGATGATTCCATCATTTCAACTGAATTACACGTAATGTTTGATTCTTCTGATAATTTATAATTGTTATCGCTTTCGTTACTAGAAGTAACATTGTGATCATTAGCAGTGGTAGCAGTGATGGTGGTAGAATCAGAATTTTTGTTTTTACGTTTATGTCTTGGCTTAGAAGTAGTATTGTCACTATTGGTTTTGGTTTTACTAGCAGCTTTAGGCTTAATAGTGGTGTTGGTGGTTTTAGATTTTGTCATTTTTGAAATAATTTGAAGATTAATTATAATCAAGAGAGACAATAAAGATGAATTTTTACTAGATGTTATAATATACTAGATGCCGTAATATATCAAACTTTTTAAAAAATTTAATCAAATTAATTTTTACCTTTATCAATTACAATATAATAATATTAATATATTAAAAAAAAATGAAATATTTCTCCTTCCAAAATAAATTGATCAATTTTCTCGAAATAATTAATCAAGCTGATAAATTTGCAAAATAAATAAATTAAAAAATAAATTACTAATTAATATAAAAGATTATATATAAACAAACTAAAAAAGTTAAAACTAATATTTCCATCATCAGTAATAATTAATAATTAATAACTAATAATTAATAATATGAAGCATTTTAATTCTTCGTCATCATTTTCATTAAAATCATTGCGATATTATTTAATAACTACAATATTATTATTATTATTATTATTTTCGACTTCTACAAAATCCATTCCACTCCCACAATCCAACCCATCATCAATTTCGCCACCAACAATATCATCAACAAATCTTGAAAAACGTCTATTCTTGGATGATTTCGATATGGGTGGACTTTATGACGACGATATTTTTGGTTACGATGACTTAGACTATGGATATGACGACGGATATGACGACTTAATAGGATATGATGATGACCTTATAGGTATTGATGATTTGTGGTGGATAGATGAACCTTATCCTTGTTATTATTATATTGATGGGGTGTTACATTATAACCCTTATTGTTTGGATGAGATTTGGTTCTAGTACTAGATTTAACATTAATCGATTACTTCTTGGGGTAAATGCCAATTTATTAATTAAAAATATTCATTCGTATACACATAATATAATATTTTATTAATTACATTTGTAATAAGATTTTTTTATTAAAATTCTAAATGTAAATTTTTTAATTTGTTATATTTATATGGCTTTACTTCTTACGTCAAGATCTTTTGGTTTACCAGTTCGTAATTGATAAACTTTCAATGAGTTACTAACTGCACTAATAGCTCCCAAACTTGCTAATGCAACATGATAAACATCTTTTGTCGCTCTAGCTTGTGGTCCAGAGGTAGCAAGCAATCCAAATGATGCCACTAATTAATTGATTAATTTTTTTGTTTTTGGAAAAAAAAGATAATGTGATTAATTATTATGATTAAATTAAACGAAAATCCCATAATAATAATAATAATTACATGTTCCAAGCGTGTAACCTGTTTTTTCGTTATCGTTTTGAATATTATATCTACAATCAATTGATCAATCAATCGATTAACGACAAATAATTATGATACATTTTGCAAAAATTGCAAAAGAGAGATTTTTTAAAAATTTACCCTCCAATCGCATAAACAGCGGCTATTATACCAGCCACAGCTGCCGTTCTAGGTTGCCTCAAATATTGATAAGCATATCCGGATCCGAGTGTAGCTAAATTAGTAATAAAAATAACAAAATTATAAATTATTACGCTCAATAAACAAATCCATTATAATTGAATTTTTGCAAATATTACATACTGGCAAAAGTCATGAAATAATGCGGATAGGGATCAGAATGACTACTCAAGGTGGTTAAAGGGGCACTAATTTTTTCAGTCTTCGATTCATTTGAATCTGGCTGTCTAACTTCAGCGGTTTTATTTTCTGAAATTGGAACATTCATTTTCGATTCCATTTCGAATAGATTTATTTGTTTGTTTGTTTGTTTGAAATCGTAGTGAAAATAATTTGAGAGAGAATTAAAAAATCTTCTTTTTATATATCATTATTTATTATTATTCATCACTATAATAATAAAAGATTAGTTAATAATAAAAATTTACATCATCATTACTTCACCACGATTGATCTACGCTGCAAATCAATTAATTGCTTAACCTAAAAAAAATTTTTATATTAATATCATTTTAAAAAAGTTGACCAATAAGTTTTATTGTTAATGACTCAAGCTTCGGCTACACTACTTCTTATAAAGGATTACGAATTAAATTATTTACAGTGTGTTAAGAAAAAAGCTGCGGTGATAAAAAATTGCATATCTCAACAATAAATTAGACTCGTTGTTTATCAAATCACTTGAATAAAAAAAAATAGAAATGCTATTTGTAAAGCTAATTCGTATTTTTTTTTTAAAACTTTACTAAATTTTGTCTCCGAAATTTTAACATGCAATTTTTTAATAATAGAAATCATACAAAAAATTATACAGTTTGTAACGAAAGTTCTGGAGATTATGTATATAAACTTACATACTTCTAGAAATAAAAGGGATTTTGATTATTTTGAAAAAATAATTCGATGTATAAATTTCTTTAATAATTGTTCTAAAGCCTACATAGCAATATGCCTCAAAATTTATATGTTATGTTATAATCCAAGATCTTCCAATATTTTACATTGTAAATGTTATAATTATTTAAAAATACACAAATAAGTCTACTTGCAACTGATATATGTGCTATTAATATTAAAATTACAAAAAATCAAAAGATCAAAAATCAAAAATACATTTAAATAAATAATATTATTACAATTACAATCTCCTACACAGTGAATCTCGATTTAGCGGACCTCTATATTTAGCGGATACTGATTAAAAATCTCGGTTTTACGGATAAAGTTCAAAGAACGGTTCCATAACCTTAATAAAAACCCTCTCGATATAGCGGATATCTCGGTTTAACGGATTTTTGGAAAATTTCCCCTAGTTGCCGCTAAATCGAGATTCACTGCACTGTGTATTATTAATACTATTATTTAATAAGCAATAATTAAATAAAGCACTGTTACAGCAATAACAAATAATGATGTAGCAACACTGTATAAATTATAAATTGAGAGTTCCATATCTCCAGATGAATCCCGAGTTTCTTGTGTTAATATTGGTGCCTCAACTGATTCAACTTTCTTGACAATTACAAGAGTACTTGGTGGGACATAAGTTGCAAATGTTGTTAATTCTCCGTTGGTCCCTGTTGAAGATGCATAAGTGGTGTACCCTGGGAAAAATAATGTTAAAGTGGTAGTGTAGATTTTATGTGTTGTAATTTTTTCATTTTCTTCTGTTGTTGTACTGACTATTGTTGGACTATTTTTTTTTTGCAATAAGTTGATTAATTTAATTAATTTGTTGGAAAATCAAAAAAAAAAAATAGAAATTACAAGTTTGAGGCTTACTCTGTTTGTCCACGACTACATCTTGGATCATTAGCATATATACATGGTTCTTTCCCAGGCGAGTACTCGGTAGTTTTACTAGTAGAAGCTAATTAATTTCATATAGATTAATTATATTAATATAAATATATTAATTGTATAATTAATTTTATGATGAATTATCAATAGCAACTGTTATAACATTGACAATTGACTAGTTTTATTAATGGCTGACATGTCAATAGTAATAGCATCGTTTTTTGATCCAAGAAATAAAAAATCAAGAAAATAAATCAATGATAATTACCATTTGGATCTGATGTGGTGCTGTAAAATACATCATTTTTGATTCAAGGAATAAAAAATCAAGAAAATAAACAAATGATAATTACCATTTGGATCTGGTTGTAGCGGTCTTTTTTGTAAGTGTTCAACATTAGTTGGTTGAATTGGGCTTGTAAACTGAAGGATGAAAATAAGACTTATTATGAGTATCATAAGCGCCATCAATATTTTTGGGTTTGATTTGTTCATTTTGTTCTTTGATTAATAATAATAAAAACTTCGATAATATGCAAATAAAAAAATGAAAAAATTGCATAATCAAACAAAGTCACCGCATAATATTGCATATAGTTGATGATCAACACTAAATATTGAAATAGAAAAGGTTATTAAAAAAAATATTGACCAAAAAAAACTTATGACCTTTAATTAATGATTAATGATAATAATAGTAAGTTATTCAAATAATCAAAGATTAATAACATGCCTGGATGAAATTGATAAATTAAAGAGTTTGTATAAAAAAGGCAGATTTAAGAATTATGAAAAGTTATTTAGAAAATGAAATTAATAATTTAATCCTTCTTTCCTTCTTACAACAAAAAGAAAAATATTTGACATTATAGTGTAATAACAGAATTACAAAATCCCAAGCAATGAATTGATTACAGAATGGTGGTCTTGAATACAATCCATCTTCAGGTGATCTTGATTTAAATCAATATTGGTTAAGTATCTCACAACAATTACATCAAAAGTTGCATTGGATTATATTTGGTCACTTATATATAAAGCGGCCACGTTTACTTTGTTGAAAATTATTTCATCAACAATCATTTTGTCAACACCCATTTCGTCAAAAGTTTGTTTCATCAAATGTTCATTTCATTGAAAATTATTTCATCCTCAAGCCAGAGACTGAACGAGTTAGATGTGAGGAGTGTGGGAAGTTAGTTAAGAAATTAGGTGAGGAAAGCAGGGTGTGTGGGAAGTGCAAGGAGAAATTTGTTTAATGAAATTTTTTTTTGTAACGAAACAAATTTTTGACGAAATGAACATTCGATGAAATGAACTTTCGATGAAACAAACATTCAACGAAATGGGTGTCAACAAAATGACTGTTGACAAAATGAATCAGACCCTTTTTTTATTTATATGTTTGATAAAATGTAAACAAAAATTTTATTATTTTCTACACAAATCAATTTGTACATATCATAAACTGCCATTATTTTCTACACAAATCAATTTGTACATATCATAAACTGCCATTATTTTCATTACACATTACACTGTAATTAATTCTCTTTTGGATAGTGATCATCAGAATTTATCAAAGAAATTAAATATGATTTCAATTCTTAAAATAAAGTTTTATATTATTGTATGATTTTAAATTACACAATTTGTTTATAGAAAAGTATTAACATAGCTTCAAATTTTGCTTTTTTAAACGAATATGAATTCGTGTAATAGATTCTGATTATTATTAATTTTTTTACCAATTAGTGTAATGAAACATTTTACCTAAATTGAGATAGTAATATAATAATATATATGGATGAAAGTTATTTAATATTTTCAAATTTGCTTTTTGAACAAAAATGAATTCGCATAACAGACTCTTTTCAAGGATGGCTATTAATAAAATGGAAATGATGTCAGTTAACTTTGGTTTTTTGGGGTAAATATTTTTAAAGATACTATCACTATTTTTTTTTTTTCATCCATCAATTAATATTTTTTATATATATTTAGAAATGTATTTATTTATTAGTGGTTGTTTTATCAAATATTTATCATCAATAACATTAGTAGGGTCTGATGGAGATGTTATTAATATGTAATATATATAAGTTAAAATTAAAAGAAGAGAGAATTTTGTTTATTTAGGAATGATTCTTGATTATTACTTGAACAATGTTTTTATATACATACATACATATGTATAAATGCCTTAACACTTTAATGCTTTAACACTTTAATTCCATCAACTCCGCCTAAATAATTGACAAAAGTATAATGACTTATTTATATTTAATATTAATAATCAAGGTTTATTATACTTGCTTTATTCATTCTTCTCATGCTATAGTGAAATCTAATTTCATATCTGTTTTTTATTTACTGCAGTTAATTTTTATCATAAATTATATACAAGGACGAGTATAAGCAAGCTACAAACAAGCTAATATAAATTTCATTTTTTTTTTATTAAATTTTAAATTATACACAAGGGTTAAAGTCATGAAAAATTTCAATTTTATTGAAAAATAATAAAAACCACTAATATACAAATTAGAAAAAAGAAATTATTAAGTCCAATATATTAAGTTTAAGTGTTGGATTTCCAATTAGTATTAGCCTCTTGGTGTTTTTTCCGTAGCTCCTTGGGGTGGCTCTTGGGTTGTATCTAAATAGAATTAGATGAAGTTTAGTCAAAAGTATGACTAAACAAACTGAGAGACATTAGGAAGGATGTTCACAGCAGGCTGTCCACCATATGCTGGGCATATGTATCTAATCAGGTCTGGAATACCCACTCAGAATCAGATACCCAGGGCTAATACCCAATCAGATACCCCAACTGGTAACTTTTGCAAGAAATGTCCTGCAACTAATAATTGAGCACACATAAATTTCCATATTAATATTAATATACAATGCGAAATCATCTAAAGACATCACGTGCTGAACCAATTTTTATGCCGATCTTGCTACTCTAATAATCTATATTTGTAAAAGATCCGCGAGTTGGTCACGTGAATAGTTAGCAGTTTAGATTTCAAATAACATAATAATTGCCACCATTTAAAACATTGGCAACATTTGTAATGTCTTTAGATGATTTATGTTTATATTGTCAAGACAGTAATGTTGCCATTCGAAGGGATTAGAACTTTCAATCTTCCAAATGTTGAGAGGCTATACATCATCAATGCTATTGTTCAATCAAAAAATTAATCATGTGATAAATTGATGATGATGCTTTAAGAATTGGAGGATGTTATTTTTACCCAAATTCAGAAAGCCATTGTGAGATAGTAAATCTTGGACCTATCAATTACCCGGTTAATATTGACCAATTAGAACGAATTTACTATGGAAGTCATGTGATGCACTAAATATTATATTATTGTAACGGCTACGCCGCACATTGCACAGTGTCATATGAAAGACTATTCCTATTCATATTTCTATATTTATATTTATTAACCTTCTCATCTGATGTAAATATTTATTAGAATTAGTAATTAGTTAATAAGCATATTATTGGAGAGTATGGTAGCACATATCACATTATTTGTACTGCCTCAAGAGGTATAAATACACTTGGCTTTAGACCAAGTTAATAAATCAATTGTTAATATTGTTAACAACAACCTTGATAACAACATAATAATAATAACTCTTAATAAATATATAACCTTACATAAAATAGTCTTTGACTGTAAGTAACTAATAAACCCAGTATGGTTGACCCCCCAGCCCTTCTAATGGTTAATGGTCTGGCCAACCTTTAATTATTAGTTGGGAACCCTTTTAATTATTCAGATACATCTCAAGGGGACGCCTTTGGGATATAATCATTTACATAGAACCTAGGGATCCTTTTATCCAGGAAGATAAAAGTTATTTTTATTATTAATCTTTGACCGTAAGTCAGCAAGTAGGCTGTGTGTCAAACAATAGAATCAACCGTAAGTCAGCAAGTAGGCTGTGTGTTGAGCTGTAAATAACCTATTAATTAGGAAACCCAGATTGCACACTTGCAATATATTATATGATATATTGATAATACATCATTTCAATTTGTCAATACTATAAAAATGAAACCATTGATTTGAAAAGGTAAGAAATAAACAATACTGTAATTATGTATGAATGATAACAATGATTATTAAAAATTACATTTATTTTTTTGTCAAAAATTATTATTTTTTATTTAGTCTGCATATTTGACATCCGAATTTCAAAATGAAAAAAAAAAAAATCCAAAGTTATTATATAATATCATTATTCAAGACATTTAAACTATAGTAGCCAGATAAATAAAAAATAAATGAATAATACATAGTAAGTGACAGGATTTAACTTATTCAAATAAGTCATCTGATATAGCTAAATCAATTTGTATAGAATCTACAAAATATTTATCACAAGAGTGGATATTAATAAATATTGTTAATTTAATAAAAATGAAAATAGTCAATGATTGGATATTAATAATTACCATTATTATTACCAATAATTGTTACTTTATTGGAATTCACAGGTTGAGGAAGGTTTGTAAATTTTAATAGTCTACTAGTATAAATTGCATTTGGATGAATTACTGTGGTAATTGTTGAAGGATCAAATTCTATTTCATTCATTTTCTTAAACTCTTCAATAATTGATTTATTTGGATGAATATACCAATCCCAAATAATCTTATGAATTTCTTTAGCAGTTGGACGTTTATCTGGATTAGCATCCATGCATTTGAATGCAAGTTCAATATAAAATTTTGGTGTATTGTTTGAGAATCCAGGTCTTGCACCTTTACATATATTCATTGCAAGATATTCATCATGTGCCAAATTATTAAATGGTTGTTGACCAGTTGATACTACAGACATCAGAACTCCAAAACTGTATACATCTGATGCTTTTGTATATGGTTTCTTTTTTAAAACTTCTGGTGCAATATATGGTAGTACTCCACATATATCATTTTTGTCTGATGATGATGTTTGACTAGATGTGCATGATAATCCTAAGTCTGCAATATATGGATCCAATTTATTTTGAAGAATATTACCACTATGAAGATCATGATGAATAATTTCTTTTTCATGAATATCTTTTAAACCTTTAATAATATAATAAAGAATAGTAATTTTGTTTCCCCATTTTAAATTTTTAAAATATTTAGTTAAATAATTTTGAAGACTTCCATCTTCCATATATCCCATTACAAATATATATTCTTTGGTAATTGGATCTTGTGTTAATCCATGAATATGAATTATAGCACTTCTATTATGAAACTTCATATAATTTTTGAACTAAATAATAAATAAAATATTTAATTACAACAATAATAATCAACAATATCTAAAAAAATCTGAAAATAAATAAAAAAAATAAAATAATTCACCTCATTAAGAAATTCATCAGAAATATTCTGTGAATTATGCAGTTTTTTTAATGCCACAGTCATATCTTCACTAATTCTTTTATGGTCATCAATGTATTTACAACCATTTAACCAAGTAGCTTTGGATATAGTTGCAAACCCACCTTCACCTATCTTTTCAATATTTGTTAAATCATTATAAGGAATCCAATGAAGATAATACCAATTATTATATTTAATTGCTTTAAGTTGTGTACTTTTAATCAACTCATCTAATGTTTCATTGCCACTGGTCCATCCTTCAGTTAATAACTTTGGATCACATGATTGACACCATGAATAACAAGTATTATATCTTTTGCATGTTGGACATTCTCCATATGTTTTATCTCCAATATATGGATCTTCATAATCTTGAAGACTTCTATATTTCATGTATCCCATTACAAAGATATATTCTTTTGTAGCTGGATCTTGTGTTAATCCATAAATTTTATTTATAAATGATGTACGAAGAAATGTAACATAATTTCTAAGCTATATAAAAAAATATATCAAATAATATTTAAAAAATCAGAAAATAAATAGAAAAATAAAATAATTTACCTCATTAAGAAATTCATCAGAAACATTTGGTGAATTATGTAGTTTTTTTAATGCCACAGGCATATCATAACTAGTTCTTTCATTACAATCATCTACACCTCTCTGACCATTTAACCAAGTAGCTTTGGATATAGTTGCAAACCCACCTTCACCTATCTTTTCAATATTTGTTAAATCATTATAAGGAATCCATTGAAGATAATACCGATTATCATATTCCATTGCTTTAAGTTGTGTACTTTTAATCAACTCATCTAATGTTTCATTGCCACTAGTCCATCCTTCAGTTAATAACTTTGGATCACATGATGTACACCATGAATAATCAGTATTATATCTTTTGCATGTTGGACATTCCCCATATCTTTCCTCTCTTAAATAAAAATATTCATCATTTTTGTCAGTAGAAGTATCATTATTTTTATTCAAAGTGTCTCCCATTGTGGTTTTTGTATATTTGTAAAAAAAATTTTTTTTAAAGAAATTTTTTTTCAGCCACAAATATGTATCACAAAAAATATATTAATTAATAATAATAAATATATATTAAATAAGCATGAGCATAGTGGAATTTCGTAATTATCACGAATGTGACTTAAAATGTCGATCTTTTTTATATTGTGTAATGGTAATTTTAAAGTACTTTTCAATTGGACGTTTGACCTTAATGTGACGTAAAAACTTTTTATCAAAATTGTCAAACCAACTTTATAGTCGTATTTTTCATATTTTTTTATATTACCAACTTTCTTCCATCATTTTCCATCACTTTCCTGGAGGAGTTAGCTAAGAACCAAAGTTTATAAGAAAGTAATAGTTAAAGAATATATAATACTGGTATACATTAATTTTGGTGACTCTTAACCCATTATAATATTTGTTTTTTATCATATTATTCAACAAGGTATTTGTTTCATTAATATTGATATTAATATTAAAATATTTATTGTTTTTATTATTTTTGAAATCAATACATTTCAAGATCAATAAATTTAATAAATTTATTTATTATATATAGTTATTATAGGGAGGCGTTTTTAAGATTTTACACATTAAATTACACTTGGGTAATATTATTCATGTTTGGTTAATAAATCCTCACAAATAAATATTATAGTTTTTAGAAGCAATATGTTTCACTACTCAAGTACAATTTATATTTCACAATTAAATATTTTTTCAAGGTCAACGTTTTCAAATTCCAAATTTACTACTTCTTCACTTTATCAATTAAGATTAAGGTTAATTCTTTATTTAAATACTATTATAAATTAATTTTTAATGAATACATGATACCACTAATTATAATTTATGCTATTTATTGGTAGTGATAATATCACCAATTTATTAGATTGTCTATTGCTATCCAAAGTATTGTGAGAATTATCAGAGCCAATATTTGAGTTATTGTCATCATCATCATCATCCTCATCCTGCAGGTTATCAATTTCTATATCTTCTGTAATTGTGTTCTTGTTTTTATTTAAATTTTTTACAAACTTTT